ATAGAAGGTACTTAACTTGTGACCATATGGAGCAAAAGTAATTACTGAGGATGAAAGACAAATCAAGACAATTAACACGCTTGGGTTTTGTCAAAGAGATAACCTATGGCACAGAATACTGCAGTTCAGGTTTCATGGTGAGGGTTTTGGGGAAGGCATCAGAGTAGTGATTTGAAAGATTTATTCATTTATTGCAGTGACAAATGCAATGAAAATGTGTTCAGAGGCTTGCTTTATAGTCAATTGCTTCTTGTAACTGATCCATTTATCAGGTATTTGACTAGGAGGAACTCAGTATAATATTGTATTGATGTAGATCAGAGCAGAACAAAGTATGTTGAATTTCACAGGCTTGGCTATACAGCAGAGCTGAATATCAGTGTATCTTAAATACCAGGTATTTTCTTTAATATGATTTGCTACCTGTTGAATATGATCTTTCTGTCACAGTCTTAGAGCATAGTAATTTATAATGATAAATATAAGGAAATTGTAGATATACAGAAATAAAGAAAAGAGATTGCTCTGAATTTTCTTGTATGATTTTCGTCAAGGACACAATAAGATCTGTATTCACTGTTTTGTGTCAGAATATTAAAAACTGAGTGTTTTAGAGCATATCTTCACATTCTCTCTGATCTAGACAGTAAAAGACCAGTTCATCTGCATTGGATAATACAGCTATGCAGTCACATTATTTCTTCCGTTGTTTTGTTCTCACAAATAAAAGCTTTCCAGGGAAGTTTCAACTTTTACAGTCATTAAGAAAATGCTCTTAACAAAAGACCCAGTGAAAGAGTTTGCAACTGGCCACGCAGAATTAATTTGCAGTGTGCAGCCCTTATTTTTTATAGTGGGTGCTTTGATGCAACTCTGAGAATTAGGGGCGCCATTCAATCCTCTGCTACTGCAGGTTCTTCAATCCTGAGTGAAAGAAATCATTAATGTGACATGAAACTTTCTTTTACCTGGGTTAAAAATGAAACATTTTGCCCAATTCAGGAAATGCCCCAGCATTTTTCTATCCCTCATGGCGCATTGCTTCCTCATTATGGCTCAGTGTATCTGATAGGAATCTGGGGACAGTGAGAAATCTGGAATCCAGTGTATGTTTGTACCTATGCTGCAAGTCTCCACATTACATTAATCAGATTTATAGTTATATTTTTTGTCTCAATATCTTATTTTGGAATAATGAATAGTCAAGCCATGTTTTAGATATGGCTATGCTATTGCTAGATATGGCTCTACAGTATCTCTTTCCTTGCAACAATTTTTCTTTAATGTGAGATTTGCGTGGTACTCCCCTCTGAATGTTTCAAATATATAAAGTAAGAAGATAGAAAATTACAGGACAGAAATTGACTTTTTTTCAAGCCTTTCTTATCAGGGATGACATTGTAATAAAAGTTATGGAGTATATCAATAAAATACTGTTGTCTACTTGTGAAATGGTTGAAATAGTCTGAAAATAAATATCATGCACTTAAAAATTAAGAATGTTTTGGTAACCTATAATAAAAAATAATGGACTCAATTGGAAAAGTAATAAAGAACATAAATTTTGTTGTGTGCAGTTAGTGTTCTGAAATGGTGTGCTGTCCCATGCATTTATATGACTGCACAAATATGTGTCCATTAGTTATGCAGTTATTGTGATACTGGACTGATGATGAGAGCGTGAAGACAGAAAGGGTAGGTTGCACCTACACACAAAAGGTTATTTTGTAGTTGACCTCATTGACATAACTGTTGACCTAGAGCTACCAGCGAAGCTGTGGCATGTTTTGTGATTGACTCGCCTGAGAATAGCAGCAACTTGTCCAAGAGTTGTGTTTTTGTTTTCTTCTTGTATGTCAGAGAAAGCAGCCTTAATTAAGATTTGTGTGATGACTGTAGTTGAATTTTTCTTCATTTAGTCAAAGCCTTTAAATTTCCTAATAGTGCTGTTTATAGTATGCTAATTTGAGTTAATTGTACTGCACTAGATGAGACACTGATTTAGAAATGCTTGTAATAGTCCAATTTTGAGTGGAAAGAGACCCTTTCTTGTTTTAATCTTGTAGGCAAGAATTGTCTGCTCTGACCTGCTATTCATGTAATAAATCATTTTTAACACTGGCACAGGTGTCCTTTTGAGTTTAAGTATGTTTTCTATTCATGTTGTCTGCTGTTTTTTTTTCTGATGTATGGCTCATTATCACATCATTCTCTGTGCAAGTATTTTTATAACATCAGTTTTTGCAGACATTTCTACTTTCATAGCTGAATTTCCTATATTCATTTTTGAGTTTTGTATTCAAACTGTATGCATGAGCTTTAAAATACCATATTCAAATCACTCCGGCAATTTTTCAGTGAAATTTGAATCTGTCTGAACCTGATTTATTGTCCAGTCTGGAAACAAATGGTCTGATCAAGTAATGGTTGAGAAAGTAGCAAGGAATTCTAGAATTCTATAATTTCAGATATAGATAGCTACCTCTGGCATTACAGAGGTGAAAGCTTGTCTCTGCAGAAATGATTTATAGTAGTTCTTAAAAGTATGTTATTTCTGCTAGACTGTGTGTAAGAAAATACAAGAATTTCTCTTTTTAAAGTTCTCTTCTGTTTGAACTGAAAAAAAAAAGGGGAAAATAATATAGTTGATGATCCAGTCCCTTCCAAAGCAGGATTAGGATACCTAGGTTGTTTCTGATAGATTTTTTTTTTCTTAAAGACACCCAACTGTGGGAATTCCAAGGCTTTCTTAATAATCTGTTTTAGTGTTGCAGTAATTTCTAACTGTTAGAAATCTTTTCAGCATCTTGGCACAACTGAATTTCACTTATTCTTTATCACAGATAAGACATTCCTCTTTAGATCTACCTTTTATACATTAAAAGATTGCTATTGTCTTTATCTTCAGCCTCCTCTTCTTAAAGCTTTAACAATCACGTGTTATTAAATCTCAAACGTTTCCTTCTTGGTGAGATTCATGATGGTTTTCCTTTTGACTTTTTCCTATTCATTTCCTTCTCTGTGAGCTGCCCCAAACAGGATAGAATCAATTCATCTTGAGTTTTCCCAAAAGCTGGAGCAAAGAAGATTTATCTTTTGTATTGTGCAGGTATTTTTCAGTTTTACATATCCAAGGTGTGTTTCTTGCAACAGAACTACACTTTTGATTTATTTCCAGATTGGATTGAGATTGGATCTCTAGATCCTTCTCTGAGAAACTTTTGCCTACACAGCTGTGATTTGCTCAAGCCCTTCAGAAATTTGCATTCTGGCTGACCTTTCAACACACTGGCAGGTCCAGTATTTATGTGTAGTCTTTAAGTGCAAAAAGCACTCTCTTCACAGCTTTTTTTGTTAAAACTTCAAACAAGCCTGTTAGAGGGGAAAAAAATGTAAAAGATAACTTTAAGCAACAGCACAATCATGCTTGCACTTTGTGTACAGTTGCCTAATCAGTTTTGAACCCACACAATACTATTAGCACTCAGACAAATTTTCCATTTTTTTATATGCAGGAGGATTTTCTATGAGGCAAAGGGTATGAACATAAATGACCTTGCTTGCAACTCACTTCTCCACAAGGTCTGTTACTATTTTGTAGAGACATTGAATTCCGATTAGATTTGTTCTTAAATGATTGACTAATTCTTAACTGATTTTTGACCCTTCTTATGTGCTTTTCATATTGAGAGCTACTTAAAAATCATATGGTTTATTTGTTCCAGAGCTTTTCTAGGACTTAGTAGGTGACAGAAAAAATTGTTATTTCTAAGTTTCCACTTTTTTGAAAGATGAATATTATGTGTTTGTTTTTTTGGTTTTATTGATACCTCATGTGTGCTCCCCAGATTGCTTTCCTGATGGTTCTGAGATGGCTTTACCAATTCTCTAAGTACCCTAGGAGGAAGTTCATTGGGCACATCTGGTCTGAAAACTAATTTACTTAAGTACTCTGTAACCTTTTCTGTCTGTATTTTTTAATTGAAATCATTCTTTTGATTTTTGTATTAATTATCCTTGTCCCCTTCTCATTGTTGACCTTTCTAATTAAAACATGCAAAGAAGACATTAAATGCTTTGGCCTTCACATCTGTTAGGAACTTTTTTTCTTCTGTTGGATAGCAGTACAACACTTTTCTTTGTCCTCCTCTTAGTCACTTTGAATAGATTCAGTTTGATTAGTGCAGGGTGCAGTTATTTTAATTATGTTTTGTCCTCCCAGTAGGCCAGTTTAAATTTCCACAGAAGGGAATTTTTTTTTCATTGACCTTCCTGTGTTTGTGTTCATACCAAAAATTGGATTGCTGGTATTCCTGAAAACTCTTATACTAATAAATACACATTATTTAAACTGAAGAAAAGAAAAAAAAGAAAAAAGCATTCAAGCCTAAACCAGGGAAAGTCAAACTGAAGAGACTTGACAGTTTTGTTTGTGGAGTGACACATTCAGCCCCTCATTATTCACACACAATGGAAGTGAACACTTCGGCAATTGGAAATCACTTTGGCATCATCAGTCAGTCAGAGGATTTGACGGTGTGAATGTTTCTGATTCTCTAGCCTACTAAAAGGGGACCTTTTATATTCTGGAAAAGATTTATTGCATTTAGAAATTTTCAGTCTTGCCTGTTCTACTGTGAGACATGAAAGCATCATGAAGTATGATATTAACATGGATATGTTAAAATTAATCTAACAAGAAGAACATTAATATCACAATCTAAGCTCTTTCAGGATTAACTTGGACTTATTCTCTTTGACTTGCTTAAATCCCATAACTGTTTTTCTTTAATATAATCTCTTTAGGTCTACTCCTGGTGAAATTTTAAAAAATAAATGCTTAGCAGATATTCTCCCTGGGACAGGACACATGGGAATGGCTGAAGATGGTTTAAAGCACTTAAGAGAGCGGTCAGATAGGGAATTTTCACTGAGCCTTTAAAATTTTCTCATGAGTCTGAAGCTGAATAAGGTTTTACCATTTTATGTGCAATTTTCAGGCTGCCTATGAGTTGAAGATTGGGAATGTTGGCAACCAGGAGAATACGGTTCCGGATATACTTTTGTCTTCAGGTGGGACAAGAGTGTTGAATGTGATGGTAAATACTATCTACTACTACTCATATTTACTATTAGTCACGGGGAGGAGAAGCTATCTAGCTGCAGGAGACTGAGATTTACAGTGCTGAAAATGTGTTAGTCCTGCATTAAGGAACTTCAAGGCAGACTCCAGAGCTGGAGGAGAGATTTGGCTTTGCTGTGTGTGTGTAGCAAGGAAACAATGTGAAATAATATGGTTAAGTTGAATCTTTCAACTTACAGTATATATTCTTCAGGATGCCCTAATCAACTTTATTTTGTTGGATCTATAAGTAAAAGGACATAGAGCATCAGATACTCTTGTGAAATACTCTGCTATATGTTTTGTAACCAGACAACTTAGAAAAAAAATTTACTTGTTGTAATACATATTGTCAGTGATGTTAGTGTACTGTAAGCACTGTCAGACATTTTGCTAAACCTGTGATAACTAAGCATTATGGCAAAGATATCTGAATTATTTGTGGGTTTTCAATAGATTAAAGTGTAGATACAGTATTTTCTAAGGGATAGAAAATATAAAACTTTAGGGTGACTGTAAATGTAGTCTAAGACATTAAAAATACTTTCAAGTTAGCAATACCTAAATAGCATAAGGTTATTGCCAGCAAACAGAGCTTTTTAATTTGTTTTTTTAAATTTTGTTGTTTGAATCCCATGAACCGCTTGCTCTTGCTTGGTTGGGTATGTCAGTTGGTAATTTGCTGTAGGCAGCACAGCAAGTGATACCCATGAAATGTTATAGCCTTGGGCACCTAAAATCCATGGTATTTGTTAGCATCATCAGACAGGTAATTCTGAGCGTAGATAATAGTAACTTATCACAGCCCCACATAACACAAGGATGAAATCAGTCTCCCCAAGCTAAACCTAAAAGAGCTGACAACATATGCTTAGAGTATATAATCTGTAGCTTTCATCATTCTATTAATTAAATACTGTTTTGGCTAGCATCCAATTACAGACAAACAAAGCAAAAAAAAACCCCAAAAAAAACAAAACCAAAAAAATCCAAAACCTCAAGCGACTAAAAACTATTTCATTTTATGACTTTGTATTCCAGAAAGCATACTGAATTAAGCCTTCCATTGGTGTCATACTTTCAAAATTGTTTTACTGTCTTCCAGACAATGTGTATTTTTTCCCACTAAATCTTAAAATTGAGTGGAGGCAGGAGTCCTATCCACCTTGTGATAACTGAAAATAGCCTACCTAAATAAGATCACAGATTTCATTGGTTATATGGGACTGTGTAGCAGGAGAAGACTTTTTCCATACCTTCCATTCTTCTTAAACCTCGTATGTGTCTTTATTAGGCTGTGTGTCATTACCCATGAAATTCTGTTGCAGTTATCTGATGATTAAATTGCAGGTTTGTGCAAATACATATAATTTATCTAGTGCTGAAACTTGGTGCAGAGAGCGTGCTTTGGAGTCAGCCTAGTTCTTGCAGTAGAACCTGAGCAAAAAAATTACTTGGCAACCAAAATAAAACCTAAAATTTTAAAGGGATAAGTATCCAGTATGTGCCACACTACATGTGTAAACATTGTTTTCTGACTCAAACACATTAAGTTCAATAACCAGTTTTCCTCCATAATAAAATTACATTTTCCTGTCTTTCTCTACCTGTTTATCTACCTTAAGCTCTAGATATTAATAATAATTTTGTATACACAAATGTATCAAGTAACCTCTGATTTCAAATTTTTTACTTTTAAAAAGGAAATTGTTGAAGACTAAGAAATTTATGAAAAACTACAACACAAACCTTCCATTTTGTTTCGTGCAGTAATATGTTCTTGATAACATAATATTGAGAACAATTGTAGACAGATTTTTACAAAGAAAATGAAATAAATCCAACCAGTTCTTTGGACCTTTTTGGCCATATTTAGAGAGAGGCAGCTTAGTGGTTTAGCTTGAGCCTGGAAATTAGGAAGAGCCCATCTAGGCCACAGTATCAGGGCTGCAACATTTGCTCGGTGTATTTGAGAAGGACTGAAATGATTGCAGTCCTTCTCCACCTACATTCACAGGGTGTTCATCTAACATCCATTCCCACAGCAGTTGCTTTCCAATAGATTTTTTTTTTTAATGTAACAAATTGTTTTTTTTGCTTTTAGAGTCTGTTGCATTTTTTTTTGTTTCAGTTTTATATTGTAACTTTCCTACATAATTCCGAGAAAGAAATAAAATAAACCAAACTGTATGAACAATTACTGTTACAGTAGATATTGAACATACTATGTCTGGAATTATCAGTGCATAAATCATCATCTTAAGAAGATTTTTTTTGTCATGAGCTAGAATTCAGTGAAGTAGACCTTAGCCCTTTGAAGTGTTAAGATCTGCTGATCACATTAAAAAATGCTTCCTCTTATTGATTTTATTTTTCTTGGAGAAAATAGTGATAAAAATGGGTCCTAGAATAAATTTAATTTGTAAGTTTTTCTCTATACTGCATAAAAGCATCAATTTTTCAACTGTTAAAAAGTTGATGGTCTTATTAATTTTACTGAAAGTGAACACTTCTGTAAAGTTGCAGTTAAGTCTCTGGTATAACTGTAATTTTAGAGTGGTAAAAAGACAGCTAGATGAATCCTAAATGAGAGAACATTGCTTTCTTTGTGTGTTGATACTAAGGACTCATTAAATCTCACATTGGGCTTGCAGGCACTGCAGAAGGACAGACATTTCAGAGATCTCCAACCTCTTAGGAACTTTGGAGGTTAATGAGCCATCCCATAGTTATTACTTTGTGTTTTATCAAGGGTTTGCTCTGGGCTTTTATTTGATTTTCTGATTATAGTGTAATCTCCTATGTGTGAGCATTGACAACATCAACTTTACAAATGCTCTATTTTCCAGTACTGGTGGGCTATACCAAAATACTTTAATGCTCTTTGAGACCTTTATGATTCTCCAAGTATCCTAACATCATTAAACATTTCAGACAAGAATCAGCAGGGCTTTGTCTGAGACCCAAGAACACTTTGGCCAGGGTAAAGTCTGTCACATTAGGATCTGCTGGGTGTATAAGGACCTCAAAATATTCTATTTTCTAGTGCAGGATAAATAATGCTTCACTTTCTACAGAGCCCCCAGGCCAACTTAGGTCCCATGCTTGTCTCAGAAGTGTCCTGGTTGAGGTGTTTTGATGTCAGGATGAAGGGGAGTTAGTATGGGGAGTATATTTATACGTAAATACCTCCTCTTCCTTCCCCTTATCCTTGGCAGCCTGGAGAGGCCAGTGGGGGAGCACTGCCTCAAAACTAGAGAAAAAAATGAAAAACAGGAAAAAAAGGAAAGAAAAGGGCTCAAAAAGCTGTATTATGATATTGCGGAGGATCAGAATTGAATAATTTTTATATCAGCTGGGATCTTTCATTGTAACTGCTATCATGTTTGTTTCTCCAAGACAAAGTTGTTAAAAAAAACCACCAAAACCATGATGCTTCTTTTTCTGCCAAATCTTCTAAGGCCATCATGATATTGTGCTAGCTTAAGCTTCAATTGTTCTAACTAAATCTTCCATTAAGGAAGTATATAAGAAGATATTTAAATATCTGGAAAACATGAAACCACCTCCTCTAAAGCAACCTAAGAGCACCACCGCAGTCATTGGTGTTACACCTTTAATGTAGTTTGTTTTATCCAGAATTTTCATGGAGACCTGTAAAGCATAGCAGTAACATCACCACTAGAAATGATGATTGATCTTGTGCGTGTTATGTGTTTGAAGTAGCAGGTCTCTGTCTGGGGAAAAGGAATCCCATTCTTTATACAAAACACTTAAGAAATTTTCCAACTCCTTCTTTGAGTTTTTTATCAGAAACTCAGGGTCAAACCTCTTCAGATAGAAGCATCCTTTTGGAGAATTACAAACAAAACTCAACACTGTTCCTCTTTGCATATTCTCTCTCATACTCTGCAGATGTCTGTCCTTTATTTAGAGACTTGTAATCAAGACTCTCATCTTAGTACTTCTGATTAGTTCAGTAAACCCAGAAAAACAAAGCAGCCATGCTTTTTCTGAAAATAGATCTATCTTTTGAGGTAAAATGTATACTGGAGCTCATTATCTTTGGAACCTAAGTAAGAAGTTGAAGAATGAGAGTCAGTTGAGTGAACGTTTCTCTTGTGTGGGGGAGAGGATTAAGGGAGCAAGGAACTAAAAAGACATTTGTTTTATAGCAATCAGGCCTTCTTCTGCTGACATGCAGTGTTTTTCCACTCCAGTTGACATGGTTAGACATCCTCTGACACCCTCAGGGATGTAAATCAGAGACTGAGAATTTTAGACTTTTTGTTGTCTGGAGATATGTACCTTGTATTATAATGATTATTAATTTTTCCCAACTGTACATTTGCTTAGATGCACGCGTGTTTAAATATATGTAAATATATATCGCCCCTCAAATCTTCAGAAGGCAAAAAACTTCAATATGTATGTCTTGTTAACATTTTGCTATACATCTTCCAGAGGTGTACTAGGAACAGCCTGCTGTACAGCTGTTCTCCTCCAGCTGAACAGGTTCATAGGGAATGAAGAGCTTAGAGCCATTTGTAGGCAATGAAGCAAAAAGAAAAATCCACAAAGAAGCAGCTGATGTTAGCAGCTTTTAAAGAGAATAAAAGGAAAGGGGAAGAATAGGGAGACAAATGTAGAACAGAGGGAAAGAACACGATTTTGGATGAAATCTGAATTACTGTTTTTCAAAACCAAAGAGAAGCTACGGTGCTTACTTTCATAAGCCACACTTTATCCTTTCATGCTTTTTGCTGCCTCCTGAACAATATCTGTGCTTACCATTCGCAGACACTAAGCCAGTGCTTTACCTTCATTGCACAAATGGCTGGGAGCTCAAGGCTGGCAGCCAAAATTTAGTGTTAGAGCTTTGTCACCGACACACACCTAGAACTCAGTCAGGAAGGTGTTTAGGGCATGTTCAATTTTAAGCACATGTTTAAATCTTACTACTTGCCATCACACTAT